CAGTGCTAGTAAAAAACCTAATTCCAAACGAGCAGTTTGGCTTTCGAGCCAAACACTCAAGTGTTCAACAGGTGCACCGCCTCACGGAGCACATTCTAGATCAGGCTGCAAAGGCGAACAGACGCCCTGTTTACACAGGAGCACTGTTCTTCGATGTGGCCAAGGTCTTCGACAAAGTCTGGCACAATGGACTAGTTTTCAAACTTATCCATACAGGGGTGCCCTTAAGACTTGTCAAAATCGTACAAGATTTTCTTACAAATAGATCCTTTCGTTTTCGCGTGGAGGGTACATTCTCCTCTTCCAGAACAATCAGGGCAGGAGTTCCCCAGGGCTCGGTGCTCTCCCCAACCCTGTACTCACTTTACACAAGTGACATTCCTTCGGTAATAGGTACCCATCTCGCACTATACGCGGATGATACTACCATTTACTCCTCAGACACCCATCCCATTATAAGCTGCAGTCGACTCCAAGCTGCAGCAAACGCACTAGGCGATTGGTGCAGAAAATGGAGAATCGAACTGAACCCCGATAAGAGCAAAGCCATCTTTTTCAACAGAAGATGTTATTACAACAAATTACTGGCTCAGATTAAAAAATATAAATTAGGTACGATCTCCCTATACGGCAGCCCAATACCGTGGGTTCCAGAGGTAAAATACCTCGGGGTGACTTTAGATTGTGCAATGAGCTTCTCTCAGCACATTAAAAAAGTTAGAAATAAGGCAAAATACGTTGTGCATCGTCTTTTTGCCTTAACCAACAAACGCAGTAAGCTGTCCCTAAGACACAAACTGCATCTTTACAAAACCTGCGTACGTCCTATTATGACATACGCGGGTGTCTCCTTTGCGCATGCCAATAAAACGAGCCTAAAACAACTTCAAGTTGTTCAGAATAAGTTCCTGCGTCAGATCACAGGAGCTCCGTACTATGTGAGGAACGCGGATCTCCACCGCGACCTCGATATGCCCACTTTACATACGTATCTTAAGGAACTATCCTTAAGATACTTCGAGTCGATAAAAGATCACGAAAATCCGTTGGTGAATGAGGCGGGCTCGTACTCCCCACTGAGGGATGTTGCCCCCCGCAGGTGACGTCCCAAGAACGTTCTTCTGGATCCCGATGACGAGATCACTTCCATAAATAGGTCGATCCCGCCCCCCCCCCCCCCTCCACAGATGAGGGAATTAGATTAGTAAATATAAACAATAACACACACACAGACACTACTCTAGTACAGAACACTAGGGCACACCGCAATCGCCGGCGAATGCGACGTCACAGACACACTCCGTACACGAGGTTTAACACCCGTGATACGGGGCGTTTCTAACTTTTGCGACTCGTTAATAAAATTGCGATAGCGATTCAAGCCGAGGTTCGTACCTCCATCTGAGGGGCCCTTGAATCGCATCGAGCCCCCCCCTAGCTCGAGGAGCCTCACTCCGAAAGCAGGGGTCGGGGTGCCTCGGGACTGCTGTCGGCGAAGCGGCGCTTCGCGCCGCCTCGCCGACGGCAGAATCGTTGCACTCAATAGTTCGTAAGTACTCACTTACGAACCTAATTAGACGAAGCTGTCAAGGCCGCAGGGCCAACAGCATACTCATTCAGAAAAAAAAAAAAACGTCTGATTCTATTAATTAATAAGCTATAATAGTTAAAACTTGTTAAAACTTGTTTGTGTAGCTTTATAATTTTATTTTTAAGTCTTCATTTTTTTAAATATTTAATATTTATTATTATTATTTAAAGTTAAGCCGTACTAATTATTTTCAATACTCGCGTTGATAAGTTAGTTAATACCAGTTAATACACTATCTCAATATATCTGTAATAATTGAATTCATAATTTGAGGTTAATCTTTAAGTGACTTATAAACTTAGTGTTGTTTCAAAAACATGACATAAAAATATTTTACATATATTCTACAATCGAATTAACATGTTTTTCAAAAGTTATACATAGTATTAGATAAAACTCATTAACATTTTTTCAGATTGTGGTATGAAGCATGTACAATGTATGTACCTATGTTGACATTTTGTATATTTTCCGATAACATCCGCTTGGTAAATACTTTTTGTTATTGACTATGGATTCGACTTTTGCGGAAGTCAATTCCACACCCTATTTTATTCTTGCTATAAATGCTGTAAGGCTAGACAGTGAAAGGGTCATTCGTAGATCAACAGTCGTAGCGTATTGTAATATGTGAAATATATGTAAATTATACTAAATTAGTGAAGTGTTCACTACGATTGTGATAAAGTATTTTGGTATGTAATAATAAGGCGATACATGTGTTGTAAAAACTAACGCCACATGAAATACACGGTTGTTTTAAAACAAGCATTTAACTTTATGTACCGCCATTCCTGTGCCAAAGTTCGTCGATATTAACACCTAGTTTAAATAATACTTCAATTTTAAAATGAACTCTAATATTAAAATATATATTACTTATGATTAAAACAAAAAAAAAACTTCACTAATTCGCATAATTTATGTAAAGATTACAATAGAAATTGGAATTTAAAAGTGTTTGAACAAGCCTTTACATTTTGTTTGAGCAATGATTCGGCGACAGTAGGAGAAGAGTTTAATGATTTAGTTGTTAAAAAAGGAACATAAGTAAAATGTTTCTCAGAAGCCATAGCAACTTCTTGATCACATCGAGTTAAATTATTGTTAATATTCAATTGAAAATCCGAGTTGCGCGGTTTGACCTTGCCCGTTTCACTATTTATTATTCATTTTAATTTTGTCGGATGCAATTTTAATTTTGTTGCTTAAATGTAAAGTCTTTGCAGTGGAACACACTTTTTTAAATTTTAGAATATGTTTTTACATAATCTCTAAATATAACACTACTATTATATGATCTTTCATCATAAAGCTCGTATAACCTTCGCTTACTTTTATAAATTCCTACTGTCGCCCATTCATTAAATGATTTGCGACTGTTAAAAGAGAAAGTCTTAGAAGTAAATATTCTGCTAAATTCACAACTTATAATTTTAAATAATGTAGCATACAAATAATTAGCACTATTTTTAAATGAAAGTGATGGAACTTTTTTTATTATATTACTTCTAAACCTCTCCAAGCGATGTTCATTTATTGGAACAAACACAACTTTCTTATTTTTCTGTTTTTTGTGTATTTAAGGTAGTGATACCAACTATTCACAGTGATCTGAACTTAAATTTTGAATAATTGATTTATGCAAGGGCTTAACATCTGTAAAAATGTCGCACTAGGCCCAGCAATACGTGTTGGTTCTAAGAATAAATTTACAAGATTATACGATTTAAACAATGAGCTAAACTTAATACTAATGGAAGAAGTTTCAAGGATATTGGTATTAAAGTCTCCACATATTACAACAGACTTGTTCTGTTTACTAAGTTTGAGTAAAACTTCTTCCACAATCCTTTCAAAATGGTCATATGTAGCACATGGGGGTCTGTAAACACTTACAACAATGAGGTGCTCGAGCTCGACACAAGCCATTTCTACAGTTCGTTCAACAGAGAGGCTCACAATATCCTTACGTTCTTTATATAATAATGACTTATCTGATAATATTAAGGAGCCACCACGTAAACTTTTTTCTCTATTGAAGGTACTGACCACCTGGTAATTTCTGAAATAAAACATGAAATTATAATATTTTAGCCAATGTTCAGTAATACAAAGGATGTGTATATTGTTACTATTTAAAACATTTCAACTTCCAATTCTTTGCCCAATATGCCTTGTATATTTTGATGCGCCAGGTGTATACAATTTTTATTTTTTTATTTATTTACGACACTTTCACAATTCTACCTTTAGATAAAGTAACTGCATTTTTAGACCATCTTAACTCCTTAAATTCTAAAATTCAGTTCACAATGGAGTTAGAGGCAAACAATTCTTTAGCTTATCTAGATGTATTAGTAATTCGGAATCCTGATAACACCTTGAGCCACACTGTGTATAGAAAAAAGACCCATACAGATAGATATTTAAACGGTGATTCTCACCACCATCCTTCACAGTTAGCTACCATGGGTAAATCTTTGTTTCAGAGAGCACGAGGGATCTGTGACAGTAAACACCTGGCCGCCGAGCTCCAACACGTCAAGCAAGTTTTGCACGACAATAAGCTTCGGGTCCCGCGCCTACGTCACAGTGAACGAGTGAAGCCGGCCACAGTCGAGCGAGTGCCTGCTGTACTGCCATATGTCAGAGGTGTCACTGACAAGATTGGCTACATCTTGAAGCGTGCTTCCATTAAAACATATTTCAAGCCGCCGAAGAAGATTAGTCAGTTTTTACCATCAGTCAAGTGTAATATTCCTCTGCAAGATGCAGGAGTGTACAAGCTGGATTGTGAATGTGGTCTCTCTTATATAGGACAAACTAAAAGATCCATAAAAACCCGCGTTAAAGAACACATAGCTGATGTGAAGAATAGACGCTCCGGGAAGTCTGCAGTCTGTGAACATGTACAGGATCGCCCCCGTCACTACATTAGATTTGATAGACCACAAATCCTCGCTAAAGAACACCGATTCCTTCCAAGGATGATTCGCGAGGCTATTGAAATCAAAAAATATCCTTATTTCAATAGAGAAGATGGCTGGGTGCTACCATCTGCTTGGGATCCCATAATTAATAAAATTAAATCCCAACCCAAGCATACAACTGCAAGACTTCATGATACTGTAAGTTCATACTGCGTAGATCGGAACAAAAATTAATAATTTTTAATCTGGAGGTAGCCGTGGTTAACTATGACATTGGGACGTCATACACCTCAGTCCCCCCCGTGACCATGGGTGCTGTAAAGTGCTTGAAACGTCGGGAATGTAAAATAAGTTAATATACGCGATATTTTTTTTATCTATCTTTATTTAAAAAGGCTTTTATCCTACAAGGATATGTCAGCCTTATCGTAACCTAGCTTGTTCCCGTTTCACCAATGCTATTTGGAAAGGGGCAATCAATGTGGTAAAAATATGGTACTGACTGATTTTGCTACCGCTGAGTGTGGCTCCGCAAGTATATTCAAAAACCAACCCGTTTCACACAAATTGATACTAAATTTTTGTACCAGATTCTCCCTTTCCCTTTGATATTTGACACATTCTGCTAGCATATGTTGTACATCTTCTATAATATGACAAATATCGCAATTGGGCGAGTCTGCTTTTTTCATTAAAAATACAAATTTTTTATTGGGGTAGTGCCCAGAACGTAATCTATGAATAACAATTATATGGTTTCTATTCATTTTAATATTGTTATACCACGGTATTCGAAGAGGCTGACTTTGTATTGTTTTATACCATATTCCATTTTCCCTGTTTCTTTCATCGAAATACTCTCTAAATTTATCATAACACAGGTTTTTGAATTTTGTCAATATTTCCGTGTAAATTGGTAAAATATTTAATTCGATTCCATGCGTTATAGCTGCTTTTGCTAATCGGTCAGCCTCTTCGTTTCCCTTTAAACCTATATGCGATGGAACCCATTGCAATTTTATGTTTATATAGCGACTTCTGTAATTATATAGTTGGTTTAATATCCCATAAGCTATCGGTGCACCTCTGCTATGACCAGAGGCGCATCGAGCTAAATGTTGTAAAGCGCTTTTGCTATCTGAAAAAATAACAAAATATTGTCCACTTAAATTGCTAATATATTTCAAAGCTTCAGATATTGCCACGAGTTCCATCGTCATTATTGATAGTTTTAGTTCTGTTCTAAACATAGCTGTAATTTTTTCTTTAGGATGACAATATGCAGCACCTAAACCTACACGATTCTTAGATCCGTCAGTAAATATTTGGTGCCAGTTAGCATATTTTTCATCTATTTCCTTTAATACATAGGTTCTAAGATACATAGCTTCATGACTGTTTTTATTCTTTTGAACACAATCTAAATTCACTTGAATAGTTTCATTTATATCTATATAGGAAACCCAAATATTAAGTTTAAACATTTGTAACGGATAAGAATTGTGAATATTACATAGTTTACAGTCATCGTATGCAAGTAAAAGTAATGTTTTTTTTTGTGCCAGTATCTATTATTAATAACAGAACTAAGATCATTCAGTATTTTAATTGTAGCATTATCTGTCCAAGACATGTTTTTGATACAGTATTTATATGCTAAATATTGTCTTCTTACGAACAATGGTTGAATGCCTAGCTCACTCTCCATAACATGGATAGGTGTACTTTTGATAAAACCCCACATAATTCGAAGTGCTTTATTTTGGATCTTATCTAGTTTAGACAGATGTGTTTTAGCGCTATTATCGTGTAAAAAGCATCCAAAATCCAGCCGACTTCTTAATAGAGAGATATATATAGTGCGCATATGCTTAGGATGTACACCCCAAGCAGGCCCGGACAATACTTTTAGTATATTTAAGAATTTAGAAGTTTTTTCTACGATCTCATTAACATGTTTAGTCCATCTCAACGATTTGTCCAGCCATAGCCCTAAGTATTTAACATTTTCATGTACCGGGATAATATTGTTATTAATGCTTAAAGTAATTTCTCTTCTTTTATAACCTCTGATAAAAACACATAATTTTGATTTAGATGCCGATAATTGGAGTCCTATTTCATCTAGCAAAATTATCATTGCATTTACTGCAGTTTGTAAATTATTTTCACAATTCTGTAAGTTCTTGTCACTCACATAGAAAACAAAATCATCGGCATATTGAGACACAAAGACATTTTGAATCTGGCGACAAATCCTGAAGGTTACAATATTAAAAAGTAAAGGAAATATTGGATCTCCTTGGGCAAGGCCCCTGTTGGTACACCTAATATCGTGAGCACCCTTTTTCTCATTTTTAATCATTAAATATCTCTCATTTAAGAACGACCAAAGATAGTTACATATACCTTTGCCAATTCCTATTTCATCTAATGTCTTAACAACTTTATCCACTAAAATATTATTATATGCATTTTCAATGTCAAGAAAACAAGCTGCGGTTGGGATGTTACTAGTAAAGCCTAACTGTGTATAAGTTACTAGCCTTGATAAACAGTCTAGACAAGATTGAGCTTTTCTAAAGCCGTTTGTGCGTGATGATAAAATATTGTGATTTTCTACATACCATTCTATTCTCTTACCTAGCATGTTGTGAAATACGAGTATTTTGCAGAGACAGAAAATGAGAGAAATAGGTCTAAGTTTAGTTTCACTATTTAGTTCAGCACCTGCCTTAGGAATTGGGACTACTAAAATTGTACGCCACTGCTTCGGTACCATGTTGAATCTAAATATGTCATTATATAAGTATAAAAGATATTTTTTCCCAGCTGGCGGTAAATTAAAAACCATGGAGTAAGTGACTCCATCATTTCCCGGTGCACTGTTCTTCTTTTTTAAGCTATGATCCAATTCTTGCTTTGTGAACGGTACTTGTAGTATCTTATTACACGATACAAACTGAGGTGGACAACCCATTGCAGAGTCGGGAGTAAGGGAGCGAAGTAGGTCCTTTTTCTTATCCTCGGATGGATGAAATGTTACTTGTTGGTACCCTTTAAACCAACGCATTTTTTCCACATATCTGATACCGTTGTAGACGCATCAATCTCATTACAAAATTTCTTCCAAGCATGGGATTTAGCCTTTTGTATTTCGTTTTTGGCTTTTGTTACCATCTCTTCTAATTTTGCATAATTATTTGGTGTAGGATTTTTTCTGAATGTACTTAGGGCAAGTCTACGTTCTGCGACTGCTTTAGATAGAGCCGGGCACCAATATTTCTTTGGTTTAAATTTACTAGCTAGCTTACTACTAAATTTTCGTTAAGTACCTGCCATTTAAAGTTTATAGCTATATCGCATGATACGAAGGTTATATCTGGTGATGATTTTCGTAATACATTATTGACTAATTTAACTCTAGTTGCCTCACCATTGTTGATGGTGTAATATACGCGATAAAATCCGTAAAATTAGTTTCATTTAAATCTTATTTCTTATTAATTTTTGTACTTTCCTTATGTATTTATTAACTTTTATATACTTCTTCAATTTAGTTTTACTGCAATTAATCCTTACTGTGTTTCCTGAAGTGCAAGAGTCGTCACCAGTCAAGTCTATTGTTGCAGATTGCTGTAACATTCTTGAAGTATCACATTGCACAAGCTCAGACAGGCTTTGAGTCTGGGAGGCTTTAAGGTTATCTATATATGTTTTAAATTGTGTTATTTGCTCATTAGCCTCATTCCACTGTTACTTCAATGCAGCAATTAACCTAAGAGCTTCCTCATATTCCTTGCTGCATTGGTCAAACTCATTAACCGTTCCCTGTAGCTGATCTCTTTCTTTTATAACACTTGTGTATTCTGTATGTAACTTAAGCATATCACATTTCAATTGTGTATTTTTGGCAATTATGTTCACTATTTTCCTTTTATTATCATCCCTTTCCTTAAGCAACAGTTCACACTGCTCCCTGGATGCCTTAAGTTCTTAGAGTGCAAGCTGGAGTTGGTTCTCCATCTGGCGCATCTTGGCGTTGCGAGTATTCATTTTACTATTTATTATAAATAATAAAAGAAAACAAAGATCGAAAACAGAAGAAGCAGAGTAAGCTAATGTAAAGTTGTTGTTGTTTTTTCTTCTTCTATTTACAAGTCTCAAATCAAATTATCATTAAAACAATTCGATAAAAAAGAAACCCGCAAAGAATGTAATAACCCGAGTAATAGGCGCAGCTCTCAGCCAGGGCAGACGGCGATGGCCCGTTCCACGCCCCGCGCACCTCTCAAGGTGCCCGCACACATCCAGACACCCACACATAGCCGCAAGTGATTTTACGTGCACACATGCTTAAGTGTCGTATCGTATCTTTTCGCGTAGTGTATATATTCTTTGGCCAAGGCCAATTATCAAACTTATCAAATGAACACTTAATATATTTTTATGATAATTTTGAAAAATATATAAATTAATTTCGACGTTACTAACGTTCATCAATAACGTCAATAACAATTTTCAAGATGGCATTTAAAATTAGCCTTTGCAAAGAATCTTCGGGCTGTCTCAACTGTAATTAATGACGTCTAAAAATGGAAAGCCACATTATGCTAATATACGGTATAAAATGTCAAAGAATAATTGTGTGAAAAATGTTTTCCATAAATATTTTGTTTTTATTGAATAAGATTGACAAACGAGCACACAGACCACCTGATGGTAAGTGAACACTGTGTGTGTAAAACACATAGTATTCGCTGTGAGAGCATAGTCCTACCCCAGTCGACCTATCCGTATTACATTCATAATTTGACGGCTCCATGGCGCAGTGGAATAGCAATGAGTTGCTGCGCTGGGGGCCGCAGGTTCGAATCTCGCTCGGAACAAGTATTTGTATGGCCTGCAAATAATTGTTCCGGGTCTGGATGTTTGTCCTTGTGCAATTTATGTTTGTAAACTGCCGCCACGATACAGGAGAAAATCCTAGTATGGGCGTAACGTTTTTAAAAAAACAGAAAGAGGATATAACTGCAGCTTGACTCTGCCACGTATGAATCTTTTACCTTTATTATTTTCTTTATTTTATATTCATTCTATAGTAAATTTCACAAAAGTTGAAGTGCCTTTAAAATAATTGTGAACAGCTCTATGAAAATAAAGGTTTGAATCGTTATAGCTTACATTATATCAAAAGAAACAAACTTTAACCACAGCACTAAGCAACATTTCAAAAAATGTGACTGCGGACTTTTAAAATTCACCAACGATTTGTGGTGATGCTATATTATTACCTTGAAAATAGTTTAGAATTTTGGAAATTCTTAATATTTGGTTTAACGTTAAAATATTTTGAAGTATTAAAGTTTCGTCCAGTACAAATTTTAGTCACGATGGCCAGGACAGGATTACAGCGCACGTGTATATGTCCAAGTACGGGTGCACTCTCTATTTCCTCACACTTGTAGTCTGATTGGACTGTAAGCCGATACGACCGGGAATGATCAGGCGCAAGACCTTGCTTTCTTAGGCACGGGAGTGAAATAGAATCAACTTCCTGACTCTGGCCTGCTATTGAGAATTTCCTAACAGAAAAAGCAGTCACACTGACGACCACTAGACAAACGAGAAATTCGAATATTTTGTAACAATGATTTTAATAAATGCCCACAAGACTATGGGTAGATAAAGTAAACCGTGATAGCATTTGTAAATATTTGTTTCATGTAACAATAATGTTCGCGCAAAACGCTGTTGTCGGAATTGACATCAGATGTCACTCGGCTCGGCGCGATTCCGGTCTGAAGTTCTTCCGAGCGTGGCAGTGGCGCGCGGGTCGCAAGCGCGTCAATCGTCTGTAAGCGGTGCTGACGTGAGCACGCGGTCAATTCTGTTAGGGAACTCGGAATAATTAGGTGCGGCCCGTAAATATACGGTCTAGGATTTTGTGACGCGCATTCCTGCTGGAGAGCTTCCCGGGACTTATTGGGT